AAAAAATTAATTTATAAATTGGAAGAAATTAAAGGCGAGCGTAGAGAACGCAGAGAACGTGAAACGTTAAGCGAAATGAACAGTACGAGTAGTCAGTTATGCGCAACTTAACGAAGTAATTGTCGGTCGATGCATGAACGTGAGTATATCTCGAATTCTTCCTTTTTAAAAGTTTCACGGTTTCTGCAAGTGTAGCCATCTCACGACCAATTTCTCAATCTTTTGTTTTAACGTTGTCTATAATTATAGCGGATCCTGTTCGAATCCTCGTTCACTGCGCATTTCATATTCGGTATTCACATTCAGCGGAACAAGCTTACTAATTTCCCTAAAAAAAAAATATGGCTGATGTAATAATCGAGCTTTTCACACAAAGTATGTGTATGAAGATGAGAAAGGACAGGAAAAGTTGTGAAAGCAGACCTGTCGGTTGCTCTTTGACCCATTTACAGTGGAACCGATGTCCGTATCATGTACAGTCGTTGCATTAAGCATCGCAAATATTATTTTCCCAAGTGCTGGTAAATATATATCGTATCGTACAGATGACGCAAGTTTCATGGTTTTGCTTCTTTCGCGCTTACGTTATGTATGTACGAAATTTGTAAAATTGCTGACATTGTAGTGTAACCGATTGGATGCCAAATGACAACAGCAGTAAGGTCGAGTTGCATTCGAATCGAAATAACGAATGTATTCGAGTCAGTTGATCGAACTGCAGAAAAAATAACGACTCGCGTGTTATCAAGCCAGCTTTTAATCCGGTCGTATCCACGATGTCTCTTCGCCTTTGTGTCCTTTCAATTCTCCTCTTAACTGTATGGAACATCAATGGCATTCAAGTGTTTGGCGAGCAAAAACGTTTTCCTCAAGAAATATCGGAAAAGTTAGATGAATATTGGAACTTATATAAGGTACTACATAAACATCACATGTTCGATATTCTTCTCGAATCATTCGAACATTCTTCGATCATGTGCAATCGAAATTGGTATTATAATTATAGTTATATATATTATTATAATTATAATTATTATATTATTATATGTAATTATTATAATTATTATATTATTATATTATTATAATTATAATATATATAATATAATATATAGTATTATAATTATATATTGGTATTATAGACTGCAAATTTCTATTTCTAATTATTTTTAGATAATTAGTTGGATGGAAAGTATGTAGGTCAATCACGTATTTCAATTGTATATTTAATTATATTAATCGTAATTATAATATAACTTAATTAATCATAACTATATCCATTATAATATCTATAATTAATTATACATTATTATTAAATGTAAATGTAGAAGTAGAAATGTATAAATATGTAGAAGTAGAATCAAAATGAAGACTTGATTTATTTTTTGCCATATCTATAATTATATAATTATAATTATAATATATAATTAGACTTATCTTATAATAATCGTATAATATATAATTAGACTAAGAATTTTAATAAAAGATGCGTAGAACGCATGTAATATGACAAAAAATAAATCAAGTCTTCATTTTGATTCTACTTCTAATAGTATAATAGTATAAACTTCTCGGCCAGATTTTTTATTTTATATTCCAAAAATTATATTTTAAAGAATTTCACTAACATTATACAATACTGTACTATTTATCTAAACCCGGAAGAGACAAATAATTAACGTTTATATTCAATCTTCATTAATTTTGTTCCCACTACTTATTACTTTTCATTTACATAAGAGTTCATGTACAGTTAATTGAATCTACGAAAGTTCAATTAACTGCACATTAATTATAAATTTCGTTCCAATATCGTGCCATGCTGTCACAATGTTTATTTGTACTGTTTCTTTTCATTTATCACACTCCAATATATTCAATACTTAAATTTTCTTAGATAATTTTAGATTATGTGTAAAATGAAAAATCTATTTGGTTGCGACATTTCATGAGTCATTTTCAATATACTATTACATAATATTTACGATGTTATTATTGCTCCAGGCCCGTTACAATAAAAGTTATACTGGAAAACTCGAGACCAATCGAAGAATAGCTTGGGAAGAAAATCTAATAACGATTTATAAGCACAATATGATGGCAGCTGCGGGTCATCACAGCTACACATTGAGAGACAATCATATTGCCGATCTCGGAACTAGGCAATATATTCGAAATATGGTTCGTACGTGAAGAGAGCTGCCGCAAATTGATATTATTCGAGTATATTGTTTTATGATTTATGATGTTATTGTTTTATTATCATTTTCAAATTTTTACCATACTTTGAAACAATATTCTTGTTTCTCTGAAGATTGTATGAATGAAATTTCGTAAACTTCTGAGCGGAAGTAGACACATAAATTAGACTTAGATAATTAAATAGTAGATATTTAAGAGTAAATATTTAATATTATATTTAAGAATAAATATAACGAATGTTTATACAAATCAATACTTTCGTAACAATGATAATTAAAAAAAAAATACAATTACCTGATTCCTAGATTCACGAAGAAACTCAAAATTCATGAGATTGTAGATTAAAATTTTCTATATAAATGAATAAACATATAGTTATGAAAAAAATTGAAAGAATACTCCCTATTTAATGATTTAATTTTCTTTTATTTCTTAGGTAAAATTGATTCCTAGCCGTAAGCGACGCGTATCGAATGAACCGATAGTTGGAGCAGCATTGCACGATCCTCGAAAAATTCCACAACGGCTCGATTGGCGCGAAGTTGGATTTAAAACAGAGCCAGAAAATCAACGAGATTGCGGAAGTTGTTATGCGTATTCAATAGCTACGAGCATTCAAGGGCAAATTTTTAAACAAACAGGAATGTTGATTCCACTGAGTGAACAGCAATTAGTAGATTGCAGTACATCTACTGGAAACTTAGGTTGTTCTGGCGGATCTCTAAGAAACACACTGAGATATCTTGAAAAGGCAAAAGGTTTAATGGCTAGAAGTCATTATCCATACAGAGCAGAAGTATGTTCTTTTCTATTTTTTTTCCTTTTTGTCTTTTTTTTTTACGAAAACATTGATATATGCAATATTTAAGTTCTATACAAAATTATATTTTATAAAATATACTAATATTTTAATATTTTATTGAAATAATATAATACAATATTATACATAATAGTATATTATATAGTATGTAGTATAAAAAATAATATAATGTATAAGATATAGTTTTGTATAGAACTTTGTATATTAATAATAATTTAATATTTTACAAAATAAAATAGAAAGCATTTGCATATCATTATATTTATTATAGAATTTACATATTAGTTAATTAAATTTAAATATAGGTATTAAATTTCGTATCATTTAATGATACTTTCAACTAGAAAATTTTAATTTATAATTAGAAAATGAAAAAAAAAAATGTGCAAATACTTTTGGCGATCACCCTAAATACGTTCATGTATGTATGTATTATCCGCATTCATATTTCCATTATTCTGGTTATTCCATTAGCCTTCATATTTCATAATATATAGTAACAAACAAAAGTGAAAATATTCAATGTCTTATACGTTATATAATTTTCTAATTATTTTGTAATAATTGAAGAATTATAATTACAAGCTGAATTTAATAAATGAAATATGTCAGTCTATTTTCGTTTATGTTAACAATATACAGAATATTTTATTAAAAACTCAGTGTAATGTTCAGAATTGTAAAATGTAAAGAATAGATGAATATAGTAAGTAACGATAATAAGTAACGAAAATAAAAATAATATATCACATTTTACTTACTAGATTCAACTTGAAATTGTGATTGCTTAATCCACATAAAATATTTGAAAAGTTATTGCTAAATTATTAGTATTATCGCATTTTTCATAAGACAAGTATTTAGTCTTTATACTTAATCGTGCCATTATAGCTTATCTCCAAAGCCCAATTTAAATATAACGTTTCTGGCTGATGTAATAAATACATTTTTACGCAAAATGCATACATTTGTGAAATCACAAATGTCAATAAACACCGAAGAAAATCAATCATTAAAAAGGATATTAAATAAATGATATTAAATAAAAAATTCATTAAATTATGTTTGGATTATATGTTTTAAATGAACTTCGCTTGCAAAAAAATTCAAAATATTAAATTAAATATTAAACACAATCAAAATCGTCATTTGAAAATACAATACATATGTATGATAAGTTTGTAGTATATTAGTAAGTATATTAGTAAAAATATATATTGCGTCATAGATTAAAAAAAATTGAAAAAATTGTTTTTTATATTCCAGTTTTCATGATATAACCACGAGGAAGAAATAATTCTGTGTAGAAAAATAGGACGAAAATATAGAATAAAGTTTTCTTATGTAACGCTTCGTTTTCAAGAAAATCGAGTTTGAACATTTGTTAAGTATACTTGAATCATGCTAATTCCGTACTAAACAGGAATGAATAATTTGCAGAAGATTATTTCACGTGCGAAAATAAGTGAAAAATGTAGAATAAGATTTTCTTTTATAAGACGAGAAAATTTGTTTCAGAAAAAATTAAATTTCAATTAACAATACACGCGTACAAACATATTAAAAATCTATTTCCTTAGAAAACCTTAAATTGAAAAATTTTAGTCTACACTTATTTTTGCACGTATTGATTGTTTATTCCTATTCCAATACGAAATTCAAATATACTTGAAACAATTATATCAATTTTCGATTTTTTAACGAGATCTTAAATGAAAAAACTGTTACTCTTTTTTTTCGCTTAATTTTGCACATTAAATTACCTCCTTCTCAGTTTTCTCCAGAAAAACTGGGCTCACTTTCTACATATGTGTTAATATTAAACTTTTAGATTTTCTAATCTTTTAAAGACTCAAAAGATTAGAACGTAAAGCTTCTACTTTTACAACATACCGAGTTCATTTCTTCTGCAGATGTTTTTACACCATTGCGAAATTTTGCAAATTAAAATATTTTTATGGAGATTGAAAAATTTTCTAAATAATTAAATCTACCATGACCTTGAAGATTGAATCTCCACTCTATAACGATTTCTTTTTCACAAAATTCTAAAAATTTAAAATATTGATAATTTTTCATTTATAAATTATGTGTACTTTCTATACTCGCTGTATTTATTTTTGGAGGATAGCAAGGTACGTGTCGTTACAAAGAAGAATTGAGCGTGGTTAATATCACTTCATGGGCAGTTTTACCGGCACGTGATGAAAAAGCTTTGGAAGCTGCCGTGGCGACCATAGGTCCAATAGCTGCCTCAGTAAATGCAAGTCCAAAAACATTTCAACTTTATCAGTGAGTATTTATTATTTTTTATCTCTTATTTCTATTTGGAAATTTTAAACCTATAAAGGAAAGGGAAATTTGAATCTATAAAGTATCTAAGTAATATCTATAAAGTATCTAAGTAATCTATAAAGTATCTAATATCTATAAAGTATCTAAGTAATCTATAAAGTATTACAAATATGTGTAATCACAAAAAGAAGTGATTCCAACATAGAATTGAATAGTAGCATCTACAATCAACTATGGATCAACAATCAATAAGAAAAAAGATAAATTTTTTTTTAATATAATATAATACAATATAATCAATTAATAATTATAATTAATATGTAATCTTTTAATGTTTCAATACGATAACAAATTCAATTTACAATTTACAATACTACGAAAATACAATGTCTAACTCGAAAATCAAATAAATGGTATGTGAGATTAATCAACACTTTGAATTTTAAAATTGCTCCTCTATGAAAAATATGACTTATTCTGTTAGTTTATAGCTGTCAATTATGATTTTCATTACAATTTCAATTTTTGTACAGATATAATGTGATATCGGCACTTTAAAAATCAGAAAATAGAGAGGAGCAAATAAGGTCGAAAAGGGGGTCGATGATTAGATAGTTTTATTATAATAAAACGAAGATCAAAAGGAACGAACGAAGTATTCATTTTTTGACATGCGACTTACTCATGTTCGGTGAATGTTTACGCAAAAGCTGCAAATACTCGAAGAAATTGGTCCACTTGTACGATAACCTTTGATGCATCGTTTGTGCGATGACTCTGAAACGACAATGAACTGAAGAGTCACTGAACTTGCGTTTCGGAACTAAAAAGAGGAGCGGAAGTTTTTACTCGCAAAAAATACTTTTATTATTCCCTAACTGGAAAATTAATATGCAATTGTCTTCTGTCCCTCTCAATCTCACGTTTCTTCTCTTACAGTTATTTTTTACTTATCATTATTATTTAATCTCGAATTTTTAATTGCAGTGTAATTTAATTTGACTTAATCTAATTTCTAATTTTGATTTAATAAAAAAAAAAAAATTAATATTTCACAAAATTATTATTTAATAAAAATTAATATTTCACAATTTCATTTCGCAGCAAAGGAGTCTATGATGATGAACTTTGTAGCTCGGATATGGTGAATCACGCTATGGTGATTGTTGGATATACGCCAACTGAATGGATCTTGAAAAACTGGTGGGGTGATGGATGGGGTGAAGATGGATACATGCGTCTGGCTAAAAACAAAAATCGATGCGGTATAGCCAATTACGCAGCATATGCAAAAGTTTGAAGAAGTATATTCAGTATGAAGAAGTATAAATTCATTGAAAGATATTTATTAAAATCTATGTTTTTTTAATTAATGATGATACGTGGTATATTCCTTCATGTTGTTCTCTCCTTTCTATTCCACATACGCTCCCGCTCAAAATTTCAAAAAATTCTTTAATAGATAAATAAAAATTTTAATAATAAATAATATACGATGACAAATTCTGATAATAAATATTTTATTCACATTCGTTATTATCTTTTATATAATATTGAAACACTAATTAATCATATTTAAAAAGTTAAAGTTATGAGTATGATAGCCTTATCTCTCAGAAGAAAGGTATAAAGAAGTTTGTTTCGCTCAAAAAATTAATGGTGTTTCAAACTTTTGAACGGAAGTATATGTATTTGTTTAGAAGCTTGGTCATTAAAGGAAGAACGTGTAGTGGAAAATGGAACGTATATTAAACGTAAATAATGGTAATTATCTGAAAACATGATTATTTCAAAGTTCATAAACTCTCCAAAGACACGGAAAAAAATTTAATTTTTAATCTCTGAAAGAACAAGATTATTATTGAATATATACTAGTGTAATTATAAAGTAATAACAGCTTGATCGTTCTCGGAGGAACGATAACGATAATCGAAGCAATCATTTACAGCTTTAAATTCAGTTTCTTAGTGATTAATTCTTTTTGGAATTTTTTGATTATCTAATGGGCGTGCAAATAAAATTTCAGCAAAGAATAATCATTTATCAAAAAAAAAAAAAAAAAAAAAAAAAAAAAA